GATAGAATTTAAGAATGGTAAGTGTAACCACTTAGCTACACAAAGAAACTGTCACTCAAAAGTCTGGTTTTCAATAATTGAATGACCTTAGGGAAGGTTCTTAAACTTGTACACAAGTTTGGACATGTATAAGGCAGTTACTAATCTGTCTCATGGGAATACAATGAACAGATACTGATAAAGAAGTTGATATTCTTAATGAGGAGGGTGACATCTCTGCATTGGATCAGATCAAAAGACAATGAAACTAGTTCTCATACTTTCGAGAGAGGTTAACCACAAAACACCCACAGACTTTCAAAAGGTTTTGTCAGTATAACACCGCTAAAGATATTTGAGACTAGTTCAGAGTTATCCAGGGTACTTCACTGATGTCAGTGGTGAAAACTGGTTATAGACATAAAATATTGGTTTTAATACTTGGTTCATTATATCAAAATATTTTTGAATCTCTAAAATGTCCAAAAATGGAACATATAAACCACATGTAAATTTCATACTTCATATTGTCTGAATAACCAAATAAAAAGGAGACACCTCAGTGGTATGTCTTAATCAGTGCGTAATGTTTTGCAGATGGGCTAGGAAATGTTTCCGGATTGGATTTTTTTTCTTTCGTTATCTGATATATCTTTTAATAGGTTTGATGTGAATTTCAAAGATGACAAAGAAGACAAAATAAGAATTTTATATTAAGGGATATAATAACTTTTTAATTTTCTTTTTTTTTTTTAAGAATAAATTGTTTTGCTTCCTGCTGTGACAATTTGCATCTCTTTTTATCATAGGAATGACTGCCAGAAAGAGGATGGACTAAAAGCCAAAACTGAGTGATGCTTACATACTACAAAAGAGAGAGCTGGCAGGTCCTCAAGACTGATTATTTAAAATCTATTTTCCAGAAGATCTGATAAGCTGAATTTCCACAACCTGAAATGGACTATTATATAGAGATATCCCCAGGCACTATTCATACTCTACAAATCAAACAGATCAGGGCTTTTATCAAATTTGATCAACAAGCTGTAATCTCTTTAAAAATTTTCCAAACATGTTTAAGCATTTTTGTAAGCCTTGTGTAGTCTTACGGCACATGACCTTCTCTTTCTCTCCTTTTTCTTTGTAAAGACCTTAATTCAATTTGTCTGCTTAGAAGAACAATCTTGTAATACAAAAGTAGCCCAGATTAGGAGTTCTCTGGGACTCCAGCATCTGGAATCAGTTTGTGCCATAAGAGACAGTGAAATGATGAATGTCATGCAAAAGAGAAATTGCCAACTGTCAAATTACCTCTCAGCTCTCTTTTGTACTGGGTTGTATGATATTTTTTCCCACCTGTCATATGATCACATTGCCCATCTGTCAGTCTAACTTGTGGTGGTTTCCAATAAAATTTTAGTCAGAGGTGAATACCTTCTGTGAGTGGATGAGAGAGGCTTAACCGTGGGGGAAGGCAGGGAAACCTTGGCCATTGTCAAGCCCCATTGGAAACAAGTGACTGAGCAAGTGGAACCTGCAGTCAGCTGAACAATCAGCTCACAGGAAGGTCAGATCCAGCCATGGCATGCTTTGGTTCCCTCCCAGATGACAGACCAAAACACTGTGAAGGACGATTTGGGGTGAGGAGTGGAAGTTGGTTTTAAAGGCACAGGGAGCATTGGGGACGTAAAGGTACTGCTTAGGGACAGTGGTGTGAAACATCATGAAAATCTTCAAGAAAATTTGGGTGAGTGTTATAGGTTGGTCTAGGAGACAAAAAAAAAAAAAAAGAAAATAGAGTTCTGCTCTTAATGAGATTTTTATTTTTTTTAAGACCATTATTTCCCTTTTTGCTTCATGTGTAAACCTTACAAACTCTTCAGGATTATTTCTTCTTAAATTATACTGTTTTTTCTACCTTCTGTAGTAGATTTGCTTCTCTCTGCATCGGCATAACTGAGATAAATGCTAAATATAGTATAATTAATGTGTTATGCCAGGTAATTTTGGCTTAGTGTGGGTCTATGAAGCAGTGCACTGAAGTGCCCCTAAAAGCTAATACAGCTGCATGTCACAACGCAGAAATATTTTCTCGTGTTTCAGAAACTGATACATTGGGGTCCCCTGCAACAAACTGTCTCATGAGGCATAAACATATACTGTATTTTGAGTCACATTTTTTCTTCAGTTGCTGGTGTTCTGATTCAATTTTTCATCATATACATGCCACTGTAGAGCACGTAAGGGCATTTTTCCATTGTGTTGAACAATAGGAGACTCATATTTGTGGAAAATAGCAGAATTAGAAAGTATTTCTAGTACATTATATAATAAATATCTTTGATATAAACCCTTCAGGTGGGCAGCTGCTTCTTTATAATCTTACTTGTCAGAAGATGCTGTACTCCTTTCCTCTGCAATTTTAGTATTGCTATTCAATGAACTAATAAAAAGGTAGTTTCACCATCTATAAGAAATATATTAGCAACCTGATTCCATTTCACAGTGCCATAGTTGTCATAGATTAGTTGTTACTAATTGGCACACTTTTAGCACAATTAAAAAGGTTAAAATAGACGTGTAATACACAAATGTTTTCCCTGAATAAATGCCTTTATTGCCAATGTGAGGAATTCCCCCCTCCCCTCCCCTTCATACAGTTATTTCATATGGTTTTATGTACACTGAAACATCTCCAAGATGAGGCCTGAAGTTCCATCTCCCTACTGCTTTCCCTTCTATAGAAGGAATAAGTAGCAGTACTAGTGATTATGACACTGCCTGGAGAATCTGTGGGGTTAAACAATTTCAGAGAAAATGAGTTAAACATGAGTCTTGCTTCATGACTCTTTGGGGAGGGTGTCTTAAACATCACATTATTCTTTTCCTTAAAGGACAAGAATGAGTCATAATTAGTTGTTTGAAAAAATAGAGTGTGGACTTATCTTCAAATTTATTACTTCCCCTCAGAAAAAAACCTTCCTGGGACTTTGAGGGAGATGGTCCTGCCTTCAGATATCTAATTCCTTCACTACCCGAAGTGTGCCTGTTACTTCAAACTGTCATTCTGGGTTTCCAAGACTTGATAGAGAAAGACTATAGAGTGCGTTAAGAGTTCTTGATTCTGCGCAAAATCTAGGAGCCTTGTAGAAGTCTAGAAGGGTTTTTTTCCTCCTAAATTTTATTACTTTGAGTAACCTAAACTCAGGTCCTCAGCCTAACTGACAGAAAAATAAAAAGACTGGGTAAAAATCCAGGATGAATCTCACTTTTTTTAATATATTTTGTTTTTCAATATAAATTAAATTTTTTCTTTTATTGTATGTAACAGTGATTTTTTTCCTGTCAAGAAATCTAAATAATTCATGGTTATAGAAGGCATGCAAACATGACCAAAACCAGAGAACCAAATCATTCAAATGCAGATCTCAGAAAGACGCTTCTAATTTTCTGTTCACTTTTTGCAGTAGTAACAGTTAGAGCATGTAACTCTCTGGGTATCAGTGAGGAAACGCAAGTTTGTTTCAAGTTAAGAAGGAGCTGGACTTCATATATGGAGAACTTAAAATTATTTAGTTTTGCCATCAAAATGGTTACAAGTGATATTTTGTAGCTGGCTAGGCATCACAATAATTTCTTATCAGACTAGAGCTAGTGTCAGGAAAGGCCATTGATTATAAGTGATTACTCCTTTGTTTACTTTCCCCCCCATCCCGTTTCTTTTTTTTTTTTTTAAAAAAAAGCAGGTGAATTTAAAAAACCCCTTTATTTAGTTCATAGAGTCATACGATCATAAAATCATAGAAGAGTTGGGGTTGGAGAAGAGACTTTTAAAGGTCATTTGGTCCAATTCCCCTGCAATAAGCAGAAACATCTTCAACTATATTAGACTTCTCAGAGCCTCATCCCACTTACTCTTAAATGTTTCCAGGGATGGGGCATTTACCATCTCTCTGGGCAACCTGTTCCAGTATTTCAGTACCCTCATAATAAAAAATTCCTTCCTTAGATCCAGACTGAATCTATCCTCACTTAGTTTAAAATTCCCTTAGTTTAAAAGTTATTACAAAGGGGTCCTGCCAAAAAGCCTGCTCCCATCTTTCTTAGAATTCCCCTATAAGTCAACTGCATCCCTCAGCTTGGTGCCTTATGCAGACTTACTGAGAGTGCACTTGGATCCCTCTATGTCATTGATGAAGGTATTAAATAGTACCGGTCCCAGTACAGACCCCTGAGGGCCACCACTCGTCACTGATCTCTGTTTGGACATTGAGCCATTAACCACTACCCTATGGATGTAACCATCCAACCAATTCCTCATTCACCAAACAGTACATCCATCAAATCCATATTTCTCCAACTTAGAGAGAAGGGTATTGTTGGAGACTGTGTCAAAGGCCTTACAGAACTCCAGGTAGATGACATTCATGGCTCTTCCCTTGTTCACTGATGTAGCCACTCCAGTAGTTCTACTGCCAGTTTGATATTGTTGTTGTATAAATGAACTGCCAAAACACAGCACAACAAATATCTTGAAAGACAGGTTCAGAGGCCATGAGAAAGAGAAAGATCAAGTAATTTAATTGTGGCATAATCCTATCACTGGTATTAAAATTTGTCATGAATAACATTTCACTTTAAATCTTGATGATCTGCAGAGAATCCAATAACCTTCTAGAGAACTAAAGCAAGCATTCCTATGTCTAACAGAAAATAGAGAAATTATTTTATGGCCCATTTTAGAAAACTCTGGAAAAGCCTCTTTATTGACTGTAGTGGGAATTTACAGATATTATCCATGTAATTTGCAGTTCTCTCCCAAATTGTAGAAGTATTAGCCACTCCAGATCTCATGAAGATAATGCAAAGATTTTTCTAACCTTATTGCGGAGCAGAGTGAAAAAATAATTGGTGAAATATTAAAAACTCAAGAAAAGATCATGAATATTTATCTGTATGTAAAGAAAACTGGAGCAGGTAAAACTGAGAAAGGAGTATAAAGAACAGTTTAGCTGTCAAAACAGACGGTAATGAAGTTCAGGATCAATCCCTAATGGGTAAGAAGGACTCTATCAAAGAGAAAGATACTCCTACACAAAGAGAATTTTGTCCACTTCATTTTCAAAAGTAGGAGTTTGTAGATAACTGTACAAGTATCTGATATATGTTATGCTGGGAGTTATTTTTGTCAGATTCAGAAACAGTTCAGAAAATGTTTAGTAGTTATTTTCGTATCTTCAGGATATATCCACATGCACTCTATAATATGTTCAAACTTTATTAAAAGCTCATAATTTAAGGAAAAAAATCTTAAATTTAATCAGTATGAGGGGAATGAGAAGTCATGGGAAAAAGAAAGGTGTTTAAATGAAATTGGAGATATTCAGCCAAAGGTTAGAAACTCATTGTGTGGCTCTTTCATGCAAAGGTTTTTCTAATAGCTGTTTCACATCTCCCATCCAACTACATAAGAGACTAGAGGTAGAGGTCTAGTATAGGATTAATCAGATCCAACTACGCACTGATTCCCAGAATATATGCATAAACCTGTCATGGTTGCTGTGGCATTTAGAAATGCTGCCAGACCATTTCAAACTCTGTCCCTCTGAATTTTACAGGGAACATTCATTAAGTCCTCTTTTATTTTAAATTGAGATTCACCTTACCTAAGCTTTATTGGATATTATACAGCCATGTAAACAAAATCATCTGGGTGATTTCGTTTTCTCTGGGTGAAAAGGGCATAAACTAGATATATTTTATATCTAATGGGGAATCACTAAAAGAATTCTGTTTGTAAAAATATTGCTTGAGTTTACAGATTCTAGCAAATTATTTTATAATTTGGTACACTGCTCCATTACAGACTAAAGGTAAATACTGTGTTTAAAAATCCTTTTCCAACAGGACAAGACAGCAAATAATGACTTGTTTTGATTCCTCATAATGCCTGACAAATTTGTGCCATTTAAAAAAAGTTTTTATACTTAAGTCATTCTGCACTCTAAAAGCCATAACTGAGAAGACATATCTCTGTCAAAATAAATTCCTTGAAGTACAGTATGAAATAATATATTTGCAAAAAAAAAATGAGCACATGAGGAATTCCATAAAGATGTGCTCTTCTGCTGTGTACAGATGGTCAGATGCAATTTAGTTTGAAATCCATCATATATGATCTGGAATGATTCAGTTTGTCAAATTACATTCTTGACAAGCTCAGTCTTTAAAGAAGTACTAAAGCTTATGTAACAGCAATAATTGGTCAGCACAGGTCTATTTTCAGAAGCAACTGATCCTAACCAAGTTTGAATAAGGGAGCATTTTGGCAGAAAATGATTGATCTCAGAAACCAGACTTAAAGACATATGTCTCTTTGGATTTAAGTTTATGCAAAACAAACAAACAAACAAACCAGACAACAACAAAAAAAGAAACCAAAACAACTGAAATTAAACAAGCAAACCCTCAAAATCCCCAGGACTTTAGAATATTTAATTTTTAGAATATTGAATTTTATTACTTTCCTTAAATGTAATTGGAGAGGTTTCCTCCCCTCTCAGAGCACAATATTCAGAAAAATATCTGAATGCTTTTCCTAGAATGGAGAGACATGCTTTCATTGGTGTAAGCTGCCACTGAGATCCTGGAGCTGTGTTGTGATTGTAGAAGCCATAGTTGTACTGGAAAACAAAGGAAAAGGACATGGTAAGAACTTTCTGAAAGAGCAAAACAGGAGCAATGGTTGCTGGAAGGACTCTGTGAGAAGAGTAGGGGCTGCAGACCGAGAAAGAGCATTCAGTGGTGGTGACCTATTAGAGAGTCGAACAATAGACTACTGCTAGCCCTACAGAGTTCTGTCTCCCGTGGTCCTTTCCAAAGTGGAAAAAAAAAGTAAAATATTTGATAGCAGCAAGTGAGTTAAAATGAAGCATGGACTTGCGTATATGCCAGACATTTTAATGCTAATTAAAAAAAAAATTATACTATTTTGCTACAGGCAAGCATTTTGCTTTAAGCAGAAGTTTCTGGAAAATTTCTGTGATAATTCTTCTATTTTATAATTGTTCCTTCTTGCTGCCCTACACTGTATTTTTCAGGTTGATTTCAGACAGGTTTTTTATGGTTCTTCCATGTCTTATGGAAAACTTTTTTTCAGATAAACATTTTTCTTTCTAGCATTGATTTACAATGTATTTTCAATGTAAATTTTCACCCTTATTTTTATTGAAAAATCTTACTAAAGCAGCAAAATATGGGATCTTTAATAGTATGACATAAGAAAGACGTCATAGATATAAACTAATTTGATTTTTGGTTGTTGGGGAATGTGATAAATATTCCATGATGATTTTTTCCATTCCAACTGTTAGTGCTTTCTCATAGGCTACATGATTGACAATCTCTTTTCAGTAATAAAAATGTAGCAAATATATTAGTTTTCTTTAGGCGCTAACACTAAAACTATTGTTGAAATGTATCCTAATATTTGTTTCAAAATACATGAAAATATTCTTTGTTTATCCTTCATTATTCAAGTTATTTAACCATAGCTTAAAAAATTAGGCTTGTAGACAAATATCTCCACTGAGTTTTTAGGGGTTTTTTTTCTCACAATAAAAATAAGGTTTTCAGGGTCAATGTTTGCCAGATGCTTCCTTAAGCAGAGAATATTTTTCTCCCCTTGCTCACATGCTGTGAATTATAAGAATAAATAGATTTTGTAATATTAATAAAGGCATAAATTGAGTTGTTTAATTCATAGCCTAATCACCAGGATGCTCTTTGTTTGATTAAAATGTCAAGAAGGCTATTAGGAAAAAGACAAAGGCAAAAAAATGGCTTGGGATAAATAGCCATCTACCAAAACTCCAGGACTCATCAAAAGCTATTAATTTATGTTCTCTGTCTCTGAGCCTCTGCTGAGTTCACTTGACCAGCTGGTTAAAGGGTCAAGAGAAATTCCACAGCTAGACTGATTGTAAATTGTACAACCATTTAAGTAAGGAACCAGACTGACTCAGACCTTAAGACCCAATTGTGAGTGAAGGTAGGAGGGTTGCATAGATCTCTGGAAAAGGCTAACAAGATTTTAGGTAATATTACTGTGGATGCAGATCTTTGCTCAGAAACCCCTTTTTGGTTTGTAGCTTTCACTTAAGTAGCTGACTCTGGCTTAAGTAGCTACTCTGTTTCCCCCAAGCATAAAATCTTGTGGGGAAGACATTGTCTTACAGAGTATTAACTAGAGAAAATCTGATCAATGGACAGTTTATTCTAGCCCAGTGGAGACATAGTTTGAATTTTTCATAAGCCTTCTTGCACAAGGAAGTACACACAGACAAATGAGGCAGGGTATAGATGTATTAGGTCTGTAACTGCAGCATACTTGATGTTGCTTGTAAAGTTATCCACACTTAATAAAGAAAAAAATGAAATGAATTGTCAAAATGCTGGTTCAATACTGGAGCTGACAATATAACTCAGAATTCCTGTGTTCTTTGTAATTAAAACTTTCCTATAGATTTTACTGCATATCATGTCAATAGACCTTGCTCTGACTGACTGAAACACCGCATAGCACAAGGATAAGCATCAAGTGTAGTTGCACTGAAGAAGGTATAGGCCCAATTAAATGTTGTACTGCAGTCAAAATGGATGCTGCAGCTCTTAAGAAAAAAAAGTTGGTAAGAGTAAAAGCATTTGGTGAGCAAATTGTGGAAAACAAAACAACAGAAAGAACTAATATTCCTTGTGGAAGCTGAAAATATTTCTAACTGAAGTGAGACTTTCATGTTCTTGCAGTCCATTCCTCAAGGACTCTATAAGTTAGAAAAAATATTACACCTTTAACAAAATTTTAAAAAAATTTAAGTCACAGTTATATATTTATGGGAAAATTAACTAAAACACAGTAGCTGCATTAAATAAAAAGCTTGGCTTAAAGTACAGAGGCAAAAGGAGTAATATAAATCTGACTTAAGCTCACAGAATCTGTGGTGTCATTTGTATACCAAAAAACAATTTGAAGTAAAAAACCTACAAAATTAACAAAATCATTATCAGCTAAACTGTTATATTACCCTTGGAATCAGTGTAGAATATACTATTCACTGCTTTGAGCAGGGGTCATGCTGTTTTCCCGATTGTGACTACCTAATAATTTTCACTAAACGAGAGTTTTGCAGCTGTGTGTAATATTAACAGATTTACGATTTAAATAGTACCTTTCAAGTGATTTTTCAGGAGAAAATTCACACTTCATTTCTACCTGCTCCATCTAAGTTTGCAGACTGAATAGAGAAATGTTGTACGAGACTGACAGTGTGTCATTGATTACTTCACTCACTTGCTCCTCAGACATTACTGAGGTCCACACATGTAGGCCAGGCCTGCACATCTTTGTTCTGAGAAAGATAGTTTCACAAAATCTAGAAAATCCATGTGTTTATTTTCACTTCTTCACAGATGCCTACAGAGATAATCATAACAGCAACAATAGGCTAATTTACATTCAGACAGAAACTTCAATCACAAAGAACTTCTCAAACTATACACAGGACAATCCACCAAATGTGATCTCCACCCACAGGTTGAAATGCAATAGACTTTCCACAATACACCCCCTCAGTTTACTATCTTGAATACTAAAGTGCAAATTGCAGGAGAGCACTTGTAAACTTTCATCTGATTTGCAAACTGAGCACAACATTTCAAAACTTGTGTGCCAAAAGACAGACCTCTAATCAATACAGTGTTGGTTGACAACCAGTTTCCCAAAAAGATGAAGCTTTCATCCCTCTCCCTGGTGTTAGTTCTGGTACTCAAATCCTTCAAAATGTATGGTGCATAATTTAGCATGCAAAGTTAGCATACAGCATTGCTAATGGAAAACACCCATGACTTCTTCAAGATGTTTGAGTTTGGAACTGGGAGTAAAAATCAGGCATACTTACAATCCCTGTTCTAATTCCTAAGATGTCATTATGTTTTGCATCATTATTCTGGACTACTTGCTGTGGAAGATGAGTATCATTTGTCTGATTTGATACCACTTCAACTGATAGCTGATACCACTTCATCAGAGATCCTTTGTAAGAACACTTATGTGCCTGTTCCATCTGCATTTGACAGCATTTAGATAAATAGTAACATTGTCTGAAATAATACATCTCTTCAGTTCCATCAAGCTACAAGCATATGACCAGGTAGAAGGTTTCTTTGCGGTTAGTAAAGTTAATGCTACCTTGAAAGCATACTCCTTGGAACTAAGAACACTAAGCTATTTCAGAACTCTTTACTGTTCTATAAACAAGTCTTTCTAATCTAAGGAGTAAAAATAAATGTGATAGCTGGGTGGCATGATGTCATAATGCAGATATCTCTGCAGGTAGAAGAGACTACCTTTGTTTGGCAAAAAAATAAAGACATGAGCTTAGAAAGGAGTCCCATTTATTGCAATGGGAATTTTAGTGGTACCTGTTTCAGAAAGTTTCTTAAACTGCATAGTTGTTGGCAGCAGACCAGATTATTCTTTTTGTCCTTGAATCTCACAGCACCACGAAGTTTGAAAATGAAACATGGTTTGAAAATGATGTCACTTAACAGTGTCATAAAATAACAGGATATTTCTTATATTGATATAGAAGAAAAGGTTTAGCTCCCTTCAAGTCTCTGGAGAGAGGCAAGAGGGCTTCAACAAAGCACTGTGCAGTTCATTCCAATCATACCTAAAAGGTTAACTGTGTGTGATGCATCTTTGTCATCTTCTCTTGCAGCATCGATCGCATCTATGGAAATCCCGTGTTGCCAAAGCATTTACACAGCTCCAAGTCTTTTGATTTACTGTAAGAATTTTGCAAAGCAGTCCCTCCATCTGCTCTATCTGATTGGAGAGGGTTTTTTGCATTTTTTTTTAATTATTTTCTTACTCTCTAAAACCATTTCTGAATAGAAATGGGATACTGCTTTAAAATGTCCCAGTATATTTTCTAAGACATTGTACTATTTTTTATTGTTCTACATACAGAACGGGTGCTAGATTATATGGGAAGGACTAAAGGTTAGTGTTCATTATCAACCAGTTCTGATGTTGAAGTAAAAAGTTCCATGCTTGAGAAAACCCATTCCTCATTCTGTATAATACTGGAATAAATGTGCTGTTCTTACAGCTACAGGAAATGTTTTCTCTTCTTCAGAAGCAGATCTTTTAATGCTAAGGGTTAAAAGCATGGTTTTCGAGCATTTTATTAATCTTGCAAGGACAAGTATAAGGAGATTTTTTTTAAAAACCATCTTTTTCTGGGCAAAAAAATGTACTTACAATATTATTCCTAATTTTAATATTTTTTTCCCTTCCTGATTGCCATTTCATTGTATTTTAGGATTCACTGAATGTGTGGCATTTTTCTATTTGAGAAAAAAACAGAGAAAAATAGAGAATGTGTCATCCACCCAGCCTTCTGGCTCCATTAAGTGACAAGCCATACTTGTGGTGATTCCATCCTGTGAGGAAACCTCCATCACTAATTTCATGTTTCCAGTGTATTCCCCACCCCAGACTCAAGGCAACAGCTTAAAGAAAAGGAGTGACTGGAGGGGAGTTCATACTTGGGATGGCAGATAAACCCCCTTCTTTCCCAGTTTGCTTTCTCAGGTGCCTCTGTACAACAGATATGAGGCTCTGGATGTGGAAGACCAGTCAATGGATGTTGTGCATGATGCTTCATCTACATCAGAGGTGTTGTCAAGGTCAGAAAGGTGTATCCTCCAAATCACAACCACATCCACCAGGAAAAAAGGGTAAATTGTAGTTGACTCCCTTCTGAAAGGAACAGAGGGACCAATATTCTAGAGAGACCTTTCTATTAGAGAATTCTGCATTGTCCTCGAGGTCAAGAACATTGCTAGGAAACTTCCTAGATTGGTATAGCCCTTGGATTATTGCCCATTATTTCTGTTTTATATGAGTAACCAAGAAGCTGCAACATGTAGTCCAAGAGTAATCAGAGATTTCAGGGCCTTGGGATGGTTGGTAAGGGCATTTGCAGCACAATTTTCGCCTTTATACTTCCAGTCGCAAACAGCAACATTGGAAGAAATAGATGGACCCAGCTTACTAATGCATGGAACAACCTATCAATGTATGGCTCTATGACTCACATCACCAGCTCACTTTTGGGTTTTTTGATCATGTGATGGACTATTTGACACCAGGCATGCAGGCACCAGATGGGTTATATCTTTCTCAAAGGAGAAAGAAAGTCTTTGCTCATTGACAGACCCTCAAATTAGACTTGAAGGGAGAGGGGAATCGTATCAGGCTTGCCTGTGACAAACTGTGGGATGATATGATGAACTGAGAGGGATATGACTTTAGTGAGGGCTCTCAGCAGGTAGAGGGAGGTGATTCTTCCTCTTTCCTTTGTTCTGTGGAGATCCCACTCGGAGTACTGTGTCCAGCTCCGGTGTCCTCAGTACAGGAAATACATGGACCTGCTGGAGTGAGTCCAGAGGAGAACCACAAAAATGGTCAGAGGGCTGAAGCACCTCTCCTACAAAGACGGGCTGAGAGAGCTGGGGTTGTTCAGCCTGGAAAAGAGAAGACTCCGGGGAGACCTTACTCTGGCATTTTAGTACCTAAAGAGGGCTTGAAAGAAAGAAGGGGACAAAGTTTTTAGCAGGGCCTGTTCTTAATAGCACATGGGACAATGGTTTTAAACTAAAAGAGGGTAGATTCAGACTAGATATAAAGAAGACACTTTTTATAAGGCAGGCAGTGAAACACTGGAGCAGGTTGCCCAGAGAGATGGCAGATGTCCCAACTCTGGATAGATTCAAAATTAAATTGGATGGTGCTCGGAGCAACCTGATTTAGTTGAAGATGTCCCTGCTTATTGCAGGAGGTTGGACTAGATGTCCTCTAAAGGTCCCTTCCAACCCAGACTATTCTATGAATTTATGATTCCATGATTCTATAATTCCTTTAATAAAGAGATTTTCATCATTTTTGTTTTAGATCCCCTGTTTTCTCCTCACCAAACTATATATTTGTGCTAATTTCCCACTATTGAATAGATAACTGTTCTGCATCAATAATACTGACTTAAATGAAGCTACTGAATTGAATCCAAATGACAATCCCACCTCTTATAAACCAAGTTTTCGTTTGTAACCAGATTACCATACACAGATGTACAGAATTTTAAATTATCTGTTTTTACATGTTATCCAGTAAAGTACTCTACTTCTCTCCCTCTCCTCCCTGATAATAGACCAGTTTACACTTTACACTCAAGCCCTGGCCTATTGCCAGAGGCCTGTGGGTTGAGTCTCAATGGTCCTTTCTAAACCAGCTCTCCTGTGCTATATTACAGAAGTCTACTGGGTAAGCTTTGACATAGGATATCATCTGATTTTTAAATAGACTGAGTAATCTCCTTCTTCCTAACCTGTTTAGAATAAAACCTCAAGTTCTTATTCTCCACCATAGGAGCTGAATGGTAATAAGAAAAGAGGTGAAAATTAATATCTCCATTCGGAATATGCTTAGTGTTTCTTTTGGTAGTTTTGTGGGTTTTTAAGTTTAATTTTTATATTTATTTTTTAAAAGGTAGAAGGTGTGTAACTTCTCATATGTTATATAATGCTTTGATTTGCTAATACAGGAAGTACAATTGGCATGAAAAAAATTAGTAGCTCTAGAAAAGTCTCTGTCTATGCAAAACTTTCTGAAAAAGAAATTGGTGAGCTGTTTTTAATTCTGAAACTTAGTTAATGAATTGCCTGTCTTTCTTACAGAGCACTGGACAAACCTTAAGGGGGAAGCCAAACTGAGGTTCAAGGAGTGCCTAGTGAGAGACCAAACACTGTGGAAGCAGAACTGAAAAGGTAAATCAGAAGATTGTTTGCAATGTTCAGAGACTTATATCTCCCTCTCGACTCTGCTGACATTGGCACCAGGACAGATACTTCAAATGAACTATTAGTGAGCACAGCCTACTTGTCTCTGAAATTTGTGCCTCAGCCATGTTTTGAACAAGGCAGGTGTACTTCATCTCTATTTCTGTATGCTTTTAATTTTGAGAGACCTGCAGAAGTCTCAGGTCAATGCACCATTTGAAGCTTACACTCCCTCTCCTTCTGACTTCTGGAGCAGTCTGGCTCTTACTTTTATGTGTAATACCCACACAATATTTGTTGCTACTGGATCTGAACCCAAGTTCAATTTAGACTTCGTATTTTACCCCATGTACTCCTCAAACACACTGAAGTCAAATATTGTGCAAAAACCTCTCCAATTCTTCAGGTCCTGAGTTAATTATTTGATCCTATCTGAACTTGTATCACAGTCAGTGCCAAATCTCCCCATTTACAGCAGTGGAGCATAGCAAGGAACTGTTTTATTCAAAGGGTTTTCAAATCTAATACTCAGAATTCTTCAGAACAATAAGGGAATGCTAGCAAGATTTTCATTTGAGCTCAGTCTAGGTAGCCAAATTATTATTTATAATAATGATTTTAAAGAATCCTATAAGATAAGGTTCTGAAAGAACAAAGCTATTAGAAATCAATTACTTTCATTTTTTAGACAAAGCAAAAATATAGGAATCTCTGTTTTCTCTGAGAAGGGCTTTGTACGACATGGCTGTAGAATAGCTGCTGGAAATAGCTAACACATCAGGCACTGAAGGACAGAAAGACAGAAAGAAAGAATTGATCTTCTGGGAAGTAAAAACTCTTTAGGAAAGTCTCAATTTTTATAGGTATGTCACTCTATTCCACATTGATATTATGTTTGGTTTTATATAACTAAGATCAAGAAAGCAAAGAGAAGAAAGTCAGTAGAAGAAAACAATGAACTATAGATAAAATTGGAGGAGAATCAATATTAAATTGTAAATGGTTTCTTCTGGCATGAAAAACAGTTTCTATGGTAAACCAAAATTATTCCAAGAAAAACAGAGAGAACTCAGTTTCAAAATCCATTGTTAAAACAAATCTCAATCAATCAAATGATTAATTCTACCTTCGCAATGTGTCAGTTACAAATGGTAATAACCAGAATCAATGGTATATAATTTGTCATCCTTTTGAAGTCTCAAAGATTGTTGATAGGCAAAATACCAATGAAGTTAACAATTGTTAGGTAAAACATGATTAATATTCTGCTCCATGATAATTTTCTTTCTTTAAAGAAAGAGACACCATTTCAATCAAATTGCAGTTTTGTCCTTCCAAGGGCACCATAAATCACTAATACGTTCAGAGAAATCTTTGA